CAAAAGTGCTACCTCAACGTGAACTACCATGTCACTGCCTTAATGCTTAGGGTAACATTTAAGAAAGACACCCGGAGGGGAAAAGAGAAAAAAGAATATAGAGAATTTCTTTGGGTGTATTATGAAAAAGTGTTTTCTACTCAAGTCATGCAAAAAGGAAGAAAGGGTCTTTGTGAAACACACTTCACCAGTTTGGAACACACACTAAACAATTTCACTTCAGAGCTTTCAGTAAATTATTTCAGTGAATGTTACTGAATAAAGGAAACCTGCACTGGAAATTCCTTCAGGAACATAGGCCCTTTCATGTTTCTCAGCTAGGCTTTTCAGCTCTCATTTCTGGGCTATTGCTGCTTCTCTCTCTGTCTCTCTCCGTGCCCCTAGTCCGTTTTTTGCCTGCTTCCTACACCTCACAGACTGCCCTTAGCATCTGGAATGCTGATCGTCTATTCAGCATCAAAACCCGCTCAGAAATGTCTTTGTAGCAACAATCTCTCTCCCTCGATTCTAGTACCCACCTATTCAACATCTAGAGTTCAAGAAAGGTGCATTTACAAAGGATTCATCTTGAAAAAACCCACAGACTGAAAACTATAAGGCTGACTCTGCTTTCTGACTTGCCAAGGGAGCGCTCACAGGGTGAGCTCCCAGAAGTGCCAAGGGAGTGCTCACAGGGTGAGCTCCCAGAGAACAGCCTCCTGGCACCACAGCAGGAAACCAGCAGCACCACTGCAGTGGGAGAGAAAAAGGAATAGGTGAGGCTAGAAAACCAAGTATCTCCATTTAGCTGAAGCCATGCAAACCATCTTAAGGAAAGAAGTCTTGTGCTGCCTAAGTAACCCAGGTCTTTTCCCTCCTCATTTGCTACTGTGTTCCAGAAATGCAGTTATGGCAAAGATCATTGGTGTAGATCCACCTGCCAGAAAGACACTGTGCTTCTCTTCAGGTCTGCAAAATTGCAGGGGACACCGGACACTGATGTCACAGACATTGTATTCCCGCAGAAGATAACACTGACAGTTTATGAAAAGTCCTTTCCTACACTGAATAAAGTTTATTACTTAAACCTAAAACGTATGTCAGAATGTATGTGCCAATCCCTGCCTCTGTGCAACAGCTGGCATGGGTTAAGCTCTAGCACTTAGTTCTTACGGGCCAAAGAAGGGACAAGACACACTTTCACTCTACTCAGTGAGTGGCAATGTGCAATGACAATACTACTTGTTGTGTGAACAAATTCACAGTAATTTTTTTTCATTTATTTGGAAACAGAAAGGTAGGGACAAACACAGCTGTTACTTCACAGAAGGCTCAGGATAAAGCAAATCAAAAGAAAAATCTCAAAGGAAGTTTTTAAAAATTAGTTTAAAAGGTATGTCTTTTCTAGCGCTTCATGTGAGAAGACAAATGCTTCTCCAAACTGTGCTTCAGAAATTAATACCTGCCTTCCTCTTGTGAGGAGAATCTAAATGTTGAAGATACTATAAAAAATAACTACGGCTAAATTGGTCTCATGTATTGAAGTGCTCCTTTTTCTAATCAACAGGTCAGAATTAGGATGATAACAGGTTATGAAGCAAAAAACAACTATAAAGACCGAAAAAGTCACGTTAAAGTATTTGCACTCAACTCAAACTCCCAAGCAAGTACCCAGAAAAAGCTCTAAATGAATGCCTTGCCAACATTCAGTACACTGATACTCTACTGTGTATTAGCACATCAACAGGGCATGTGCTTTCCCAGGAAAGGAACATTTTCTGTTTCTTGAGATGCTAATAAAAACGTAAGTGCTAAGTTGGGGATGTGTCATATAGCCTTAAAATAAGTATTTCTTCACATTTAAAACAGACTTTTCCACCAAGAAAATCCAAAAACTGAAGCAAAATACTAGCTTTACTGAAATGTTAACAATACGTATGTTAAATAATGTGAAAATAAGTGGAAAATTACACATTCCTTTAAAATTAAGCTTTGTATAGGCACAAAATTAGACAGCCTGATAATTATCAGATTATTTTGAAACAAGTTTTTATTTAAATACTTTCAGTTTAATACTGTATCTTTTTATCCTCGTATTTTTTTCACCATCTGGCTGACTAGAAAAGTTACTTAGTGACAACAGTGTATCTCACATCAGACAGTATACGTCTGAAATATTAATCCATCTAACAACTGGTAGGGAAGGAAAAAAGAGATCAGCTATTCACTCAGTTATTAAGTGTTGAATGTGACAGTCTCTCTCCTCCAGTAACACAGAGTTACTTGAGTATCAAAGTATCCAGGGAGTGAACAATTATTACATCAGAAAGACTAGCAAAATAAATTGGGGTTTTTCTCAATAAACGGAAAACTCAAAATTAAAATCTTTTTCAGACCCCTTCTTTCATCAAAAGCATTTACACTTTACATAAGCCACGTTTCTTCCCCATGCCACTGGCTCTCACTTTATGATCACATTATTCAGACAGACCACTATTTCATAGCAATCCGTTCCAACACACCATTGAAGATAGACATCCAAGTGTGGAGTCTAATTAGATCCCAAGGTATCCATACTTTACATGCCAAATAATTACAAAAACATATTAGAAGCAGAGAAGCGTAGAGCTCTTGATTCATGTTTACTCAGTTTTAACCATTACTTCAGTTTCTTAAATACCAACAGGGATATAGAAAAACGTATTTTACTTTGTACTAGAAAATGTGATCTATGAGACAACCAGGGCAACTGAAAACTGTCTTTTGAAAGCTGAGCCCTAAACTCCGCAGTTTTAAAGGTGGTGTGTTTTGGTAAGGAACACAATTCTTTATCCAAGAACTGTAATTTAATTTATTCTGCTCCATGTTTCAGTGCAGAACGAAAAATAGAATCCACAAAATCCCAATGGATATATTAAAAAAGAACTTTACAGAAGTGATTACACAGTTAAAACTAACTGCTAGGCAAAAAGCCAGGGGTTTTGTTGTGTGTGGGGGTTTTGGTGTGGGGTTTTTTACATTAAGTATATTAAATTACACTTTATTTGCTTTGGTGTATAGAGTCAGATTATAGGTGAGAAGAAAACAGGAAAGGGTGAATTTTTCAATAATCTTAATAATTTTGCATCTCAACCTTCTTCCTTGTTCTTACTTGCTTTTTCTCACTTCTTCCCTGTGTCTATTTTGACATGTGTTTTTCAAAGCAGCTGTTACAGGACAATGACTTCAAATGAACAACAGTATGTTATAGGGAAAGCTTATTTTGGTTCAAACAGAAGAATACTTTAATCATTGTTCATCTGACAATATTCATGAGAATTAAGTTGCAAATCTTACTAAGCAGGCAAATATCGGTTCCCAAACGGCTGGATATGCAAAAAACTGAAGATGTAAACAGGTCCTGCAGCAGGTCTTGAACCTGGACAGATTCACCAAAGCTGTACTGGCATCATTTACGGTGTACAAAGGTGTTCCAGAAGAATTACAGGTGGTACACAAAAACCAACTATGATAATTTTAAGATACCATGGCTGCTTTGCAGAACTTGGAAAACAGATTTATAAAATAATTGACATAGCATTTTTGATGTCACCAACAAGCTGTGAGAACAGTCTGATTCATGGTCTCAGGCACAACTGACCTGGATTTATGTGATCAAAATCCAAACCATTCTGGCACAGAGTAATTCATGGAGGATAATTTACAGTGTTGAAATGTTACCAACAGCTGTACCTTCAGTCACTGTGTCTTTTCCTTGATGCACAAAGCATCATCAGATGGTAACATCATTGGCAGGGAAACGGCTGAAAATCTCTACAGGAACTCCAAAATAACATGAGGGAAGTGCATGGAAACTGTAACACCTCATGGCCCCCTCTCCCGCCTGGCTGGACTGTTACTGTTTTTCCAAAACATGCTAGGAGCTGAATGAAACTACCAAATTGACCAACAGCATATGGAAGTGTCTACTTGATGAGATGTACTGTCACTATTCCTCTAGTCTTTCTCTAGCACGTTCTGCCCTAGAGCTCTCTGAGACACAGCAACCCATAAAAAAGTAGAGGTGCTATCTGGGAAGAATGCTTCCTGCAGTACTTCCTTCCTCAGCTGCAGGACAAAAGCAGCTACAGGAAAATAAAAAAACAACCCAACCTCGGTAAGATAAAATCAAAAGCCACTCAAATAGAGCAGCTAGGTAGTCACTCCCCAAGCTGCAGGGAAGGGAGGTGAAGATAAGCGAGGTGCCTTGTGTGTGCACATAAACTCAGGAGTTGGGAGAGGAACTTCTGCATACCACAGCTGCACATTTAGTACCACGTTACAAAGCTGGAAACAGGCACGTACAGCAGACTGTCCAGAAATGGCATAAATCATGATAGAGGACATTATCTATGCATTTTTCCCTAGCTGTAAGGATAGGATTACTAGCTTTTCCAATAATGAAAAAGGAAGAGTGGAGCGTTTAGAGCATCAAGGAACTGCAAATCCTACACACTAGCTCAGACATGTATGAAGCCCTATCTTCAGCATTCTGTCATCCAAATCGTTTTCCACACACAGTTTTTATGTTGACTAGCTGAAAAATTGCTGTGGCTAAATGGGCACAATACTCTGCAGTGTCTGAAGTTAATAGCATATGAAGATGTTGATGCTTATCTTTACATACAAGGAACAACAAAAGGAAGCATCAATTTAGCCAAATCCGTTTTCAGCTTAAAGCAGGACAAGTAAACATACACACGTACCACTAAACACACGGACAAGTCTCAACAAGATGAGAAGTGTACTGAGGCTAAGGGGTGAAGACACATTCAAAATATGGACAAACACTTAAAAAAAAAAGCATAAACATTTTAAATGTTTCCCAACTTTCCCCTCGATCTATTTCTTTATGGTCTAGCTTGGTAAGCAGTATGCTAGAATTGAGTCTTCAACAAAGAATTGAAAACAGTAGATGGAAGGGACTTGAAACAGTTTTGAGTGAGATGTTTAATATGCAAGCCTTGTAACACTGCCCCAACTTGGAAGCATCTACAAACAGCGCAATCTCCTGCTTCTGGTGACAGAATTCACAGGAAGCTGCCTTAAAAACAAAATTTCAAGATTTCATTACCGTGTGAAAAGGGCTCACAGGAGAGAGGAGTGTCAAAACAGCAGATCATTTTGAGTCTGGAAGAAGGCAAGATACTATTGATTAGCCTGCCTCTATGCAAAGCAAGAACTCCTACAGTTCTCAGCAATGATAACATGCCAAACATTGCCTGCAGAAACTCAGCAGGAGTTGAAAACAGCTGCCTTGTACAGAGAGAAGATACGGCCCTGATTAACTAAGAAAAAAAAAAAAGAAAAAGGATGGATGGGAGAAGAAGACAGCAATTTTTCAGCTGTCTGGCTGCAAGAGTCTTGGTCCTGAAGAGCCTGAGTATCACTGGAAAAATGGAAGTTGTAAAGTGGATAAATATGCACAGCTATACAGAATTTCAAAGCAAAGAGGAATCCACATTGTATAAAATGGAAGCAGAGTAATTCAGTGTTTTGGAACGCCTGCTTGAGGCACTCCACTACTATCGTGTTTCCCTTATTCAGTCTTTACACAGGTAGGATCCTCCTTCTTTGTTTCCACCAATACTGTATTCTTTGACTTCAGTGTCCTTGACAAATTCTCCCAGGCTTGTAAACTGCTTTCTACATCTTATCAGAAGAGAAAGCTGGTTGGGAAAGTTACCATGGCATTCCTTTCTCGTGCACAGTTTGTTCCAGAATGGTTCACACACATTACCTACTGAGTCTTCCTCAGATACAGTTACTGAATCGAGCTGCTTACCTACTAGGGGAAAGGCAACCCACCTTATCTGGGACTTTGTATCCTGCAGAACAGCTATGGATAGACAGTGTAAGGCAGACAAGTAGTAAACTTTACTATTTCCTCAGATGACTGTAGAGAAACTGCCACCCACTCCATATATGTAAAATAAACAAGGAAATTATATAGCAGTATTTTAAAATACCTGAAAATATTTTAGAAACCACTCTTGTTAAATCTGAGCAGATTCAAGTCCTAAAGGGCTCCAGTTTAAATGGTAATGCCAGTAAGTTCACACTTCCAGATATCAAAAAAGCAGCATACTTAAGAAAGAATAAGACTGAAGCAAGAAGAAAAAGCAGAAAACTCTGCTTGTCCACAGTGATATTTTTTTTTCCCAGCAAAAACTCTGACTTCCATTCAATTAGTTTTCTTTGCTTAGTTTATCTTACTCTGCCTCTATTTCCTACCCGTTCGGCATCTTATAATACGTATCTGTGGAAACACCTTCCTTATAAAAGTCTATCTTCATAAAGCTGACAATTACAGCTTCTTTACTATGCTAATTTTTATGTACTGAGTAGAAGCATTTATGTATTATAAGAAAATTTAGTTAAGTTTTGGATCAAGTGTATACCTGGAAGTCTCCTCTCCCCCATCTATATTTTGGACACTTTTATTTCAAAAACTGAACCAAAAGTACTCCAAAATTCCATGGAAGCCTAATAAAGTAGTGGGGAAGGAGCTGCTATGTCTGGTAGTTCAAGCTCTTTAGCTTACATACCATAGAACTCCAGAGAGAAGTATGTGAATCCTTAAGAGTCACCCTGAGAAAAGCTCTGACACTATGCTTGTCACCTGGATCACTGTTTCTTCCTCACACCTTCTTAAACTTAGAAAGTGGGTCTGGGAAAATCCATGACTCTCACTTGCTGAGATAAGCGAGGTTAAGCAAGGCGAGCAGTGAGTTGAAATGAGTCACCAGTACCACCCGTAAGGGCTAGAGCACACCTACTACCGTACACTTAACTGTATATTCCAGCTTTTATTTGCCAGTTGGTACAAAACAACATAATGCATCAGATTTCAAGCACCTCACACATATAGTTACATGGATGTGTGTGCACACATCAGTATTAAAGAAAGGCAAACCCAAGACTCTGAAAGACAGTCAAAGAACACACCTATGTCTAGACACAAACTTGCGTTCAAATTGGTCAGAGGTCTCGCTAAATGAACTGCCAGGCCTTCAGAATAAGTGAACCGAAAGAAAGAACTGAAGAAAGGCACACTAAGCAGGGTTATTTTGTGAAACATGGCACAGATACTGAGATCTCTATAGTACTGTATTTTAAAGTTTCAGCAAACGTGAGCCAAGAAGAAAACCAAAATGAATTAACATACAGACTTTGGCATAGGTCAATGAAATATGTCCACACAGGCTTCATTAATGCAATCACAAACTCAGTGAAGCCAAATGGACATCTCAACTGGTAAACAGAGTAATAAGAAACACTGTCATATCCAGTTAAAACAGACTTGCAAACAATAGGCAGCCTAACTAATGAGAAACATGATTGTAACTTACAAATTAAAGAAACCCCCAAGGTAAGAACAGCTCCAAAATGCTCTCCACAAATTAAAAGACCTAACCCAATGGACTACACTATAAAGAAAAAGTTTGTTACAAGTCAGAAATTAATACGTACATAAGCATAAGGAAAAGAAAACGTACTTTGCCAACTAAGGAAAGATGTCAGTGCTGCAGACCACATCATAAACCCATGTCATGCCAGAGGGATTTCCAGGAAGACAGAAATCCCCAACCAAGCAAACAACAACAGCAAAAGAAAACCCAAAGCAAATTTGGTGGCAAGTAGAGGAAATAGCATACAGCTTGGTTTTGTTTAAACTATTTTTCTGTATGCCCTGAGCACATACTTGCATCTGCATTGCCAACAGTGTTCAGAACATTTAAACAGAAACTTTACTTTTAAAATGTAGTAACATCACATTAGAAAGAAGCCCAAAATTTAGCAAAAGCAAAGCACAGGCAGCTGTAAATGCAGAAACAGGCATTCATTGATCTATCTTTAATTCAAAACTTTTCAAAGTATCTCACGCAAAGAAGATTTCTTCCCTTAAGCTAAATTTTCCACTGTCGGATAGGATACCCAGCACCATATGCTTTTTCATGCCTTCTTTACCTTACTGACAAGTTAAAAAGCAGTGAAAAATTATTACCAAGCACTACAGCCTCAGCAGAGGCAAACACAGAATTACTTGGGCTCCCAACCAGTTATACACCAACTCTTCAAGCAACACCCACATTGCTGCTCCATGGTCAGGACCAGAGAACTACAGAGTTTGCTCCTTATTTCTTGGGAAAACATAAAAGCAAAAGCTTCCCTGTCATGACCGTGGGATAAAGATGTCCCACTTTGCCTAGCTACTCCTCTAGAATCAGACAACCGCAGTTGTGCTCTTACTCTGCTCTCCCTGGGGATATCACAAGAAATATAAAAAGAGAATAACCAAAACAACGTCTGTCTTTGCCAGCTGACTGCTGTATTACAGCAAAGCAAGATTCTCAGCATTTTCAATAAAGACTGAATAGGAAATATGCAGAATAGCACTCGATTCAAATCTCTCTCATCTCTCTGCATTGCACTGAAACTTGCAACAGGCATATCTAAAAATTATTTTGATTTTGAGAAGCTGCAGAGCAGCACATGAAAAGACAGGGCTGAAAATGAAACTATCACAGCAGAGAGATGTGGGGTTCTTCAAGAATTCTTATTTAGATATTTGCATCATAACATCTACACAAAACTTAAAATGTGCTAAGGACGTGAAGGTGAGGCACCATCACGCTGAGGCACAGGGGATGAGCAAGGTACCCTATTCGAAGAAACAGAACTGATATCATGGAAACGGTGAAATTCAACAGTGCAAAATACAAGCTTGAAAATTTCTGTTAGAAACCAAACTATTATAATGAAAATGACTACAGATGGGAACGAACTGATCACAAAATGACTACAAGCCACCATTATAAGCCAAAAATGAGACAAAAACTTTTCAGCAAGGAGATTTTTTTAAAAAGTATCAGATTTTGGATATTCTTTTGATTCTTTTTATATTTTTTAATACATGCATACCCATACAAATGCTCTAACACCTTCAAGATCACTTAAAACTTAATAGTCAGGTTCATTCAGTCTGAATAGCCTTTTTGAAAGCAGATAAACAGAAATCAAGTAAATTATTCAAAGCAAAGCATTTATCATTGTGAGTATATGTAAAAGCAGAAGGCGCAAGGAAAGCTGTGTTTTATGGCTTTATGAAAGACTGACTTAAAGCAGCTTTTTAGTCCACACAACCGAGAGCATTTACTGGTTATCTTCCGCATTTTTTTTAAATTTGAATATCATGCATCAAAATTCAAGAATCAAGTAAAAATAAACCAAAGCATGATCATGGGAAAACCAGCAAAAAATCACATAGATATTTTTGATAGCATGGCTGATTAATATAGAAAAAAACCCTAAAATTATTAAAATTATCTACCACACATGATTAAACACAACCAGCTACACATGACAAAAACAACGTGAAATAGGTCTCAATCATTTCAAAATGCTCTCAGAGTATGACACCAGAAGGGGTCTGTCCTTTTCAAAAGTACCTACTTTTCCAAATATACTGCCATTTAAAGTTAAAAGACTAAATATTTATGTATGTATTTCTACCAATATTTAAAGTAACAACATAGGCTTTGTGGTAAACACTGGTTTTCCTATATTAACCTGCTTTTTGCAACTGGTATGAAAGCAACTGAGAATTTTTAAACTATAGCTGAGTCCTAACTTTTCAGAATATAAACAGGCAAAATAAGTATTTTGTCTACCTAGCGGGGCATTTGCTAATTTGCATTCAACTTTTCTTTTGTCTGCATTTTGTTCTGGAAAGTCAGGTACTTGGTGCTCTCAGAACTAATGAATAATATCTTTTCATGCAACTCCACAAGCCTTTTTAATTTGATTATGAAGACCTGTCCAAAGAACCTTACTATAAATGTGAGCCCAGAGATCCGTACGTGGATATATTTCGTCATACCTTGCATTAGTCTACTATCCTTTTTTCAACACCACCCCCTATTTTCTTACTGGCTTGAGCATTCAAGTCTTTTTACTCACTTCTGTGCTCCCTGAGACAACAGCTTTGTCCACGTTCACCGATAGCTGCTCTTCAGTCTGGCAGACTCCCAATGACCACTCCGCACAGCGGTGATGAGCCCAGCAATGACCTAATGCATTATGAAAGAAAAAGAGCTTTGGCTGTACAACTCTGTCAAGCACTTCCTTTAAGTATGGAACTTAGTTCTACGAGTAAATACTTGCCAGATAAAATGAATAGTCTCTCTTCCTCTTATTTTTTTTCTTTCAACATTTAATGTCCTTATTATCATAAGCTAAATATACTGCAGTTACTATCAGACACTGAATACACTGCAATTTTTTTGATGCACAATATATCTTCATTTCAGCATATTCTGTACATCTAATTTTCAGATGCCTGATAACAACACTGCGGGGTATATGATTCTGTGACTTTATGATTCTATATGCACTGTGTTTTGTGCGTGAGACATACAGGGTTACATTTGATCTTATATTTCACTGTAAATAACTAGGTATGTACTTATGATTCCCAAGAATTGGATATGGATCCCTATGTTAATGTAGAACATGCTCACATGATGCTTTAGAAGTCTACACAAAACTTAAAAGCTCAAAATACAGCATGAACAGAAACACCATGTGAATGACTGAGGAAATTGTGTCAGTACAACAAAAACATTATAGAGATATAATGAGAAATGTTTAGCTACGTAACAAAAAAGAGTTGAATTGAAGAATTCAACAGGTGGTCTCAAAAAAAAAAGTTGGTAGTTCAGTTCTGGGAAAAGCAATGTAAATGATGCATACTTCCAGAGGAATTCTGTGACAGCTTTATACTACATCCAAAATGATGCCTTACATTAGCTGCTGAAATCAGCTACTTGGTCAACTTCATCATTCAGTAACAAAAAAACTCCCCCCAGAATCTCTGTAAGGGCTGGGAAGAGTCATCTACAAGTAAAAACAACTTAAAAAAATTAGACTGATAACCTCCTCTGCCCATCCACACACACCATGGTATTACTATTTAAAACAAACCATTAAATTTTATTTTTAGTTTTTAATTACACGTTGAAATGAGCTTCCATGCTCATTAAAAAATTCCATTTATATCACTGCACAAATATATTCCCATTTTTGAGGCAAAATAGATGAGTAGACTACTGGCATCAAAGCCTTTGGTCATAGATGCTTTCTGAAAAGGTAATTCATAACTGAGTGAAAAGTTCCATTAAAATGAAAGAGCAGATGACAAACCAGACAGTTTTCTGACAGAAAACCCAGAACATTGGAGACATGCAAGTGCATTATCCTCTACTGTCCTATTAATACTGCTCTTTTAAAACTTCCTTTCCATTACTTCCAATAACCCTGCATCAGCAGCAGTATATTAGGTAAAACTACAGGATTAGCACTGAAGATATTACTGCCTGAACACCAGTTCACCAACAGATTACAAATATTTCCCCATACAAACCTGACGACTGTGTCCAGTACTTGAAGAGACTATACAAAACCACCACGTAACATTGGCAAAAGCTACGAGAGCATCAAGCACTTGACAGGGACCAGAGCACAGAAATCCAACACCCGAAAAACTTCACTCACTGTCACTGTAGCTACTGTACTACTACTGGACTGGAAATAAGGAGGAGAGCAACGTATCTTACCTGTTGGCTCAAATAAGGCTTGAATATCAATGTCATCTGGTAAGCCAACTAAACTGAGTTCATCCCAGAATTTGACAACCTGATCGTCAGAAGCAGTTTGGGTGCTTACACTGGTACATGACGCTATATTCGACCGAGACCTGTGTCAGGGAGCAGAAAAACAAATTTAGAAGTGACCACATTCTTTATTCAATGAGCTACTTGTAAATGAACCAAAACTTGAGGAAAGCAAGTATAAATTTTTCCAAACATGATAAAATACAAATCAACATGAACAAAAATCTTTCTGCTTCGTATTTTAGCCCAGTATTTTTCTCAATAACAAAGTTTGCTCTTAAAGCCATTATTCAATAGACAAAAAAGCGTGCTTGGTAAAATGTCCCTTTTCCCAGTCCACCCTCTTCCAATTCTTCAGGACACACACACACTTCTTTTTGTAAGTCCACTTCTGTTTGATATTAAAACTTGCCCAACCCTAGGAATGGAGAATTAGGTAAGAGCAAGCAGTCTGTTACTCTGGGGAAGAAAAGACGTAGAAGGATGTGGATGCCCCATCCCTGAATGTCTTCAAGGCCAGGCTGGATGAGGCTTTGAGCAACCTGGCCTACTGGAAGGTGTCCCTGCCCATGGCAGGGGCGTTGGAGCTAGATGATCTTTAAGGTCCTTTCCAACCCAAACCATTCTGTGATTCTATGAAGGAAGAGAAGGGAGTGGTATGAGTGGCAAGCACCAGCTGCCGCTTTCCTATGGCCCTCTCCATGCAGTCCTAACAGCTAGTCCAGGGCTCGGGACTGACAGCACCCTCAAAGGAGGATACACCAGAGGTAAGGTGCCTAGATAAAATACAGCAGCTATGGGGGGGAGCGGGAGGTACAAAAAAGACCAGGAGTCAAAAAGCTGCTTGGAAATACATTTATTTACCCAACACTATTGAGATTTTAAAAAAAGGGGGGGAGGGCAAGAAAAAGAGCATGGGGGAATTGAAAAATGCAGTGATACAAAGACTAGTATATTGCGTTAGCATGGGAGGATCTAGTTTATAATCTTATCAATTTGTTGCCCAAATTCTAATCTCAACAGAAAACAATTAATAAAACTCAGAATATTCCATTAAAAAAAAGAAGCAATGATTCCTCTTCCTTTATGTCCTGCAGGCAAAATACTATCTTGGACATCTAAGTACATGCTCAGGCTTACTGATAAGAAAGACCTGATCTCATCAGGTGCTTCAGCAGTTGGTAGGAAAGAGGAGGTTCTGTTTTCTATTAAGGTTCTTTGAACTTCATTATTTTTGCCCGTTAATAACTCAAATGTATGTGTTTGCTGTTACTTCTGCGTTTCTAGAGTTGAGACAGCACAAAACAACCTCTCTTTCCCAACTTCTCTCCTCCTGCCTATAACCTCTTAAAAAAAAGTGATGATGAAAAATGACCCATCACCAATAAGACAAGAAATAGAGGGAACACGGGAATTTTAACCTGCAATAGCTTTGCCTTCCTGAAAACCGTAATAACTGCATTCAGAAATACATGAAAAAAATAGCTAGTGGGGAAAACAAGAGTAACACCCCTTGCACTGCCAAAGAACGCTTAAAAGTTTTCACTTATTACATGGTATCCTCATGACACCTGTCATGAGAGAAGCTGAACAACACCCCCTCCAACTCCCAAAAGGCACTAACTCTGACACTGTCGACATTAACGCTCCCCTTACTGGAGCACTAAACGAACATACTCTGTTCAGTAAAGCTGGTTCCTGAACAGGGCCTGCGTCCAGCGGGGCCACCGCTAACACTGAACTGCTGCTCAAAACACCAAGCTTAAAGGAACATTAAGAAAAAACCAAATCCCAATTGGCAAGGCATTTTTATCAACACGACAGCTTTCTCACACCATCAAAGCAATCCATTTAAACAACATCCAGGTCTTCTCTCCAATTTCGTCCTGAACAGAGACATTTTCCACCCCATCCTTATTGTCCGTACTTCTCCTTTGTGTACGCACTATGTCGTAGGCCTATAAAATAACCGACTGAGGGGAGGGGGTTAGTTTTATTAGCTTCACGAACAGCAATTTTTTTCCCTATGGGCATTACACGACGTGTATTTTTACAACAGTGACGTAACGATACGAGCGTGGTGGGTACCAGGGAGCGTACCCATGCGTACCAGCACCACCGAGCAGAGAACAGGCGAGGCGGCACAGCTTCTCCAGCAGCAGGCACGGCCCCGGCGCCCGGTATTGACACATTAGGAACGTCACTTTTCACAGAGCCAGCGGAACACGGGCTAATTACACACTGGGAATGTCACGTTTAGCACAGCCAAGGGAACGCACGCTAATGACTTATTCTGGGGGTGTGTTTTGGTCAGATTTGAAGGACAGCAGCTCCGCCCGAGGCCACAGCCCCTCAGGCGGCCGTGGCCCCTCAGGCGGCTCCGCCT